ATGTTATTAATACCCAAAGACCTTAATAAAAAATTGAAAAGAAATATGATTTTAATCAATGGAGTAGGAAAATGTACCTAAATGTGTGTACCAAAATGTATGCACTGAAATGTTAGTAACAAAATGTATTATGTTGAATTAATGTACCTAAATGTTTGTATCGAAATGTATGTATGGAAATGTGTATACCTAAATGTATGTACCAAAATGTATTATAATGAATTTAATGTACCCAAATGAAGAAGACAAAGTACATCAAAATAGATTGTATCACAAAAATTAATTTATCTAAATATTTACAACAAAATATATTACGATAAATGAAGTGAAAATGAAAATTATAATGAAATAAAATTAATACATTAAAAATTAGGAAGAAAAAGATAAAAAATTAAAAATATATAAATTAATAAATGAGGTTATTAATGTATTAAGGGATTAAAATTAGACTTTGATCTTATTCATTGTTTTAATCTAAAAATTATCTTTGCCAAAGATTCAAATGAAGTTTTCTATAAAAAAATATTGAGCAAAACGTCTTCGTTTTTCAAGTTTATGAACAATTATTGTAGTGTACACAACATGGTAATAATTTTCTACAATTTTGTTCAATATCTTAGTGGATAAGGTATCGAGTTTGTACTCATGCATCCGCAGGTTTGAAACTTTTTCACCCTCTAAATTATTGTAATTGTTTCGAATTATTTCTCCTCCCCAATTTATTGTAACATTTTCGAACCTTCTCTTAATAATACTAATTTTATTAAATAATAATAATAATAATAATAATATTGTACAATGTCCTTCTCGAATCCACACTATTATAAGGGGCGGAATGTTAAGGGACTCTCTCAAAAGTAGGGCTTTTCATTGACTCTCTGTCACCTCACAGTTTGACGTCAATTCCCGTCCTAACATTATAAAACATTGTGTAAAAAATATGAGGTGACAAAGAGTTTATGGAGAGTCCCACTTTTGAGAAAGTCTCATTAGCAATTCTCTTAATAAGGGACCAAGTAAAAAAAGTTCACACAGTATTGACTTTTCAATGTGCCCGGAACACGGGGTTGTACATCACATGTCATTATATAATTGGAGGAAAATTTTTTCAAGTGTCCTTCCAATTGTATAACGACACGTACTGTATGTATATGTGCCCATGTTCCAGGCATGTTGAAGAATCTATCCACACAACAAGTGGCAGATTCAAGAACTTTTCTTCTCGGAAACAAGATGAAGCAAGTACATCATCTTGTGCAATTTCCCTTGGCTTCCCAATCTATATCGGCCTTTTTAGGCATTTTGTTGAACATCGGACTGCATGCAATCGTGCTTTGGATTGCATTAGGACTGCATGCAATCATCTTATTGTAAGTCCTATTTAATTAATGTTGCGAGTATATATATAGAGAAGCATCGATCTGTTATCCTTAATGTGAAGTAGAGTTTAAGATCTTTATTTTATATTCTAACTGAGGAAAGTTAGTAATCTTCTTAATTGGTATTGTTCTTTATCTTCTTCCATTTCGTTCTTATTATGCAATTTGATCCAATGAAGAATATTTTTTTTATCTTTTTAGGTAACTTTTAAATTAAAGATTATATCTTCAAAAAAATCAACTAACTGGGAATCATAAGTTCAAGAAGAAACTAAAAGGGAAGGTAACAGCTAACAAGACATATGCCACATTTATAATGCCTCAAAAAGGATTCTCATCATGTCCCATGATCAGTCCAATATTAATTGGAGTAGAATTCTCTATCTTCCTATTTCCATCTTTTTCCCTTCCTTTTTTTCACATTTTATTTTTTGTCTTTTTGTTCCTATAAAAAATCAATATAAGATGTTGACATGGTTTAATCATAACCGTTCAAATAAGAGAAAAAAAAATGAGAGAGATTTGAAGGGGAGAAAATCATCTTCCATGTTAATTAGCTTTGTGTGTGCATACAAGAGAGAGAGGGAGTGAGGTGGGTTGGTGGCTTCATACTTTGCTCGGGCTTGCTGAGTTGACGGGCCAAGCAAATGGCCGAGAGTGGCCCTAGTGGGTTGGTCCACCGTGCACCCACGCGAGAGAGCTTGCAGAAAAAAATAAACAAATTAGACCCCACTGTGCACGATAATCATATTGTTTCACCTTGGTTGCCCTCTAAATTCCCAGATGATGTAATTTTTGGCACCAGAAATAGGCAGCTGTTAAATCCAGTCCCCTCTCTGTAGGCAACACCTTGCTCACTTTTGTGGTGCTCCCTCTCTCTTCTGTGTCTGCATATTTTATCTATATATACCTATCCGTCAGCCATTACAAAACCCTAGCTACTATTGGTTACTGCATGTATAGATATAGACTAGGCAAAAACACAAAAACTTTGGAAAAAAAAAGTAAGAAAAACCATTGTAGCAGCCATGGAGGCATGTTCATGTGAATCATGTCTTTTGCTTTCTCTCTTTATTCTTTTGTTGTCTTCTTTTAATGGGTAGGACCCGAAGTTTTCAAGTTGTATTTGTTGTCTGTGGGATTTATATTTTGATTTATCATGAGGTTGTGACTCTTGTGATAAAAAAAAAGTATGTTTGGTCATGGATAGGAGCTATACATAGGGCCTATTTATGGGAAATTATTTCGTACATTTTTGGTGATTCTTTTGTCTTTGTTCATTAACATTTTTGCTAGGGTATCGCAGTGTCACTTCTTATTAGCGAAAGAATTTTGGGTCGTGATGCATAATCATGTATAATGTTTGACTACTTAATATCGACAAACATATGAACACATTATTGATTATCAACATATCATTTATGTTCTTGATATTTCAATTACATCATATCATTATGTTTGTTAGTAGAAGTTCAATTAGATGGAAAGTAAATCGCGATATAACATCTTATTGGGTGGTCGGATAAAAAACTTGGTGAGGCCACATGAAGATATGCAAAAGCACATATTGCTCATCTTGAAAAACACTTCAAACTAATGTCATTACCACTAATTGTACAAAGTTTTGAATCTACACACAATGGATTGTGCTATTTCCATCTTCCTAATGAAAAGTTAGAACACGAGGTTAGGTTCATGTTTAGCAGATGCTTTTATTGGAACATTCCTTAATCACACTCGCTGGTCTTATCCAGTTAGCTTTGGAATTTAGGAGCAGAATGGAAGTTTGATGTAGTGGGGAAGCACCTAAACCATGCATAGTTAAATAATTGTGATTAATAAAGGTAAGGATAAAATCACAGGGTGCTAAACTCTGTTTTTAAATGCAAATCATTCAGAAGATTTGTCTGCAAGTTGCTGTCTGGCTCTGAGATTTGGCAACACCACTTTTTTAATTGATCTAATCTTCTTTTAGCATTCATCTTCTCTATAAAAAAAAATTGACAAGTAGGTCTGGGGAAGGAGAAAATTTTCAAGAAATACAACTCGGTACACTAAGTATCATAATATAAATTGTTAAAATGTATTTTCAAGTATCAAAAAACTTATATATTATAACATTTGGCATATTAGTTGTGTTACTGACCTCTCCTGAAGTGGCATTACCTAATACGTCGTGAAAGAATAATGATGAACTTGTAAACTTGGTTGGACGAGGAACACTGAACCTTCAAATCATATATAATATGTGGTGGAAGTTAGATCATATAAGTGGTTTTGAATCGTATCAAAAATTCACAGCAGGTGTCATCTCTATGAATTATAAAACATCAGTAGTTGTCTATGTGGTACAAGTGCCATCTTTGGTTAAGTGCCATTTAGTTCCCTTCCAATCACCATAAAGTCTGCACTTTCTTGCTTAAGAAACAAAAAGTTTGACCTAATAAGTAGAATTAATGTGAATCTGTTTTTCGTTATACTTTTATCCAAGAGTACCAGCTTTTGGTTATGGAAATTTGTTTAGTTAATAATTCTGTTTGGTTTAAGTGATTAAAAGCATTTATGTCTGCAGAGATTTCACGTCTTTCATATGATATGAGAAGAAAATCATCATACAAGAGCATAAAAGTTTGCCATAACATGCAAATAACATAAACAAAGGAAAGAGGGTTCAAAAGCCAAGCACTATTCAGTACTATGTTGCCAAAGCTCACTCAGGAATCTGCAAAAGATGTGTCCTTGGCCAGACAATAGTAATCTAATATTTCAAGAAAATGGATGGGAGGATATTTAGGTATTTGATGCGAACAATTTAGATAATTTAGTAATAATTCACCTTGATGGGGTCTTCAATCCAAAGGTTGGAGTGCTCAGTGAGTCATCCAAATTAAACAAATAAAACACACAAATTAATTTAGTCATCACAAACTGAGTTTAATTTTAGTCATTTACCTTTTAAGCTGACCTTCATTGCGTCATCACATAAAATTCCACACCATAATTATTACTCCCCCACATCATAAACTTTTTTTCTCTTCTAATAACCATCATATATATATATATATATGACGCCAAATCATTATCCAAATTTACAAACGCATGCTCATGCACATGAATCTCATATATATAAACACATACGAGAAATGTTAAGGAGACTTTTAAAGTTAGACTTTTCATAAATTTTATGTTATCTAACAATTAAACGTCAATTCATGTAACAACATTATAAAATATTATGCTAAAAATATGAGATGACAGAAAGTTCATAGAAAGTTTTCCTTTTGAAAGAGTCTTATTGGCATTTCTCAACACATAAACATCTTGATTCGAATCTCTCTTTTTATATATCCGACTGCTTACTTGAATCTCCCTCCCTCAGTTACGCTCGAATTATTAATTCACAGTAACATTGTCTTCTAATACCACGACCAATAACCATGGTGAAATATGATCCATGTTAAGATGAATATATATCTCTTCCTCCACATACATTAGACACATTTTCCTGTCCCGTTTCAATAATTGTCCACGCTTGCTTATGTAAGCCCCTGAAACTGTTGCTCTTTTATTTGTTGTTAAACCTGGTCCAATTCCCTTCCCTTTATAAAACCCCTCCCACTCTTCATGCTGTCATCCCCTGCCTTGCCCTCCAAAGCACAGGTCACAACCCCTTCAACTGCAAGTCCATAAAAACCTTAAGCAAAATAACTCCGAGCTTTGAGAACCATGCTTCCAGGTGAGATCATTTCAGGACTCCACTACTTTGAACCTGAAATCCCACTTCCAAATCCCTCTGACTTTGCCTTCATGCAGAACCAAATTCCCTCCCTCCATTTCAACACTTCGTTCAACAACTTATCCCGTCAAATCGCTCCTCCTATAGGCCATGACTTCACTCAACAATCCTCCAGCCTCAGCAACAACTCCAGCACCTCTGACGACGCCGAAGAACACCACCACCTCAGAGTCATCGACGAGAGGAAGCATAGGAGAATGATATCCAACAGAGAATCAGCCCGTAGATCGCGGATGAGGAAGCAGAAGCACCTCGACGAGCTCTGGTCGCAGGTGGTCCGGCTGAGGAATGAGAACCACAGCCTGATAGACAGGTTGAACAACCTTTCGGAGTCCCACGACATGGTTGTGGAGGAGAATGCTCGGCTCAAGGAAGAAGCTTGTGACCTTCGCCAAATGCTCACAAACCTGCAGATTGGCAGCCCTTACAATATAAATGCTTCTACCTTCAGAGAGCTGGAGGGAGAGGTGCCCTGCAACACGGCTCATCTCAGAGCCGAGTCATCGAACCAATCCATCGCTGCATCGGCCGATTTGCTCCATTAAGATAGATGAGGATCACTGTTATCCTGCCATTGTAACTTAGCCTACTTTATGTCCCTTTTGTTTACTCTAAAAGCTTTCAGTGTTTTTTATCCTTCAAAGCACTTAGCCACCATCTTATCTCAACTTGGCTAATAGAGTAGTTTTTATCATATTAAAGTCGATGCACGCGAACTTGACGAGAGAGATAGAGAGAAGAGGATGTATTATATATCGCTGGTTACAAGCAAGAGTTTGCGCTTCTCGCCGCGTACACATCTGTAAAACGTACTTGCAGGTCGTAATTATTGAAATGATTTTTCTTTGTAGCCCATCAAAGAATTATCAAACACTGAATCATTCATATCATCACTTTATCTTTTTTTTTTTTTTTCTAGTTAGACAACTGAGAACCCCACCAACCACCTGAAAAATGAAATACACAAGACATTGCAGCATTTAGAAAGATCAGAACAAAAGGGTTACTATTTGGTACTTACTAATCTACAAAATTGAAAATCTCCCATCACCACTATAAGCGAAAAATGGATACTATCCAAGGTACTAAACTCGGGAAAAAAAGCGTACAAGGATCAATTCGGGGAGAACAGTCAGTAACTTTGTGGGAACAATCTGAGTGAGTCGGAGACTAGCAGCGGGAACAGGAGAAAGACAAGAAATGGTGGAGGTGGTGGAGGTGGAGGTGGTGGTGGTGGCTCATCATACAAAAATGCCTGACTACTGTGCGAAAACTAAACATTTGAAAAGGTTTATCCACTAGCTAGCAAATTTACACCCCTCTCAGTAATGTTTTTGTTTTTAACTTTTTATTGTGATCTATCTCTGTTGTCTGGCTTTTTTCAGCTAAACCAAGCTTCCATCATTGCTTTCGTGAACGAATTCGAAGGTCCCGCCAAGAAAGCCGACGCAGAGGGTAATGGTGGAGAGATCATCTATTTAAATCATATTTTGTACCCATATAATGTGATTGTTGATGATTAAATTATTACTTAAGTATTGATTAACGTGCTTATTTCTTATTGGTGAATATGACGTGATTGTTGATGATTGGATTATTACTAAGTGTTGATTAACGTGTTTATTTCTTATTGATGACACGTCACATAATTTATAAATTTAGTATGAAAAGTTTGTATACCTAGCATTACACTGAGGCTTTAGGTGCTGCTTCAACAGTAGATGTACCTTTTTCTTCTGGTACTGTTGGAAGCACACACACATGCATTTGTCATATATAATGCAGCATTACCAAGTCCCACCATAAGTTATGCCTCACATTCTAGCCAGGCCCCTTCCTTCAAAGTATGTGTGATCACATTTCCATAATATCGTCAGAAAATAAGCACCCATACATACATATATAGTCATGATGCAAATCCTAGTATTAATTTAAGCAACTTGACCTACGTCTTAGTCTCGCTCAATTTCATTTGTACTAATTGTATACAACAATATGTCATGTGATGATGCAAAAGAAAACACATGAGTTTATATATACAATTGGTGACACCTAAGAATATTCCGCTGGTCTATATTGTTTTATGACTTTGATGATGTTTCCAACATATAATTTTTATAAATCACAATTAAGACTACAAAAATATGTCAAACCAAATCTCTCCACAAAACCCTAACTTAAACGTCAACAGGGCTACCTCATATTCCTAGTAAGAGTTGGACCGTCTTCTTATGGATGAAAGAAACGGCAGAGACCCCCTTTGTGGTCATCATTTGGATGGGTCATTCTGTCAAATATCTGCTGTGGAGATTTTTGACCTTCACACAGAGATATGGAACTATGGAAGTGAGTAGAAAAAGCAGTGAGATAAAACCAATGATCAAGTGCAAAGATAATAATTAAGGTTGACAAATCAAATAAATTTTTCAAAGTGTTGGTAACACGATCCAATACATTAAATGTCATGATATAATACATTAGAATATTATTTTTAAGGAAAAATTAGTATCCGGTCCCTAGTTCTTACTGTTCATTGACTAAAACCTTATTAGTTCTCAAATTTTGATTCAAGTCCCTAGCATTAATGTGATAATGAATTTACATGTTTATTATATAATTTTTTAATATAAAAATTAGTAATTAATTTAGGTTTTAATACTCGCACCTATATTAAACTTCTAATTAATTTTCAATTCAAACATTTCCAAAATAATAAAAAATTAAATTAAATTAAGTTTGTACCTATTAGTTTTTTTTTATATATAAAAAGATTCTCAATTTTTTAATCTTAAATGTACCCATTCATATAATTTTTCAATTTTTTTAATCTTAAATGTACCCATTCTCAAGTATATCAATTTGTTATATGTAAAATGTACCCTTTTTTTAATATAAAATCCTTTCAAATTTTTTAATCCATGTTTAAACTTATATGGGTACATTCTTTTTCGTTGATTTGAGAATGTATCCATGTTTTGGTACAATAATTTTTTTTGTTAATTTTGGTTAATGTACCCATACATATATACACACACACACACACACACAATATAATAGAGAGTATAATTTATATTTTATTATTTTTAATCCCATAAATTATGGGTTTTATTTAAAATTTCATTAATATAAACAATTACAAATTTCAATTTTTAATTTTTAATTTAAAAAACAGACATGCATGTACACAAATTATAAAAATGATATTTTCCCCTCCTAAATTTAGGCTTCATTACATATAAAATAAAACAATTAGGATGATGATAAGTTATAGATAATAACTAATAATCATGATTATTTATATATTTATCCTAAAAAAGATTAGTTGCAGACTTAGACATAAACAAATTGGCTAAAACAGTTTGATTCTTCTCTACACTTAAATTTGAATCTCTTCTTTCGTAATATCTGTCAGATTAAGATATTGCTAAAATAAAAAGATAAATAGGTGATAGCCAAGAAAACAAGATCACTAACAATTTATCAAATGTGATTTTTGCATGAGCACTTAGGATTATTAGTGTAGAAATTGCTTTCATCAAAAAGGAGGAATGAACTCCACTTAAATATGTAATCAAACTTATCCTATTCTGTACATGCAAACAAGTACTTAAGTTGAATATGTTATCAGTATTGTCATCCTTTTATTTATGGCAAATGTTTAACCATATTTGGACCAGCTGCATTGCATGACCTTAGTTTAATCACCTTTTTTTTTAGGGTTTATCTAATTTCGGTTCCAAACAAAGAGCCAAGTGTATTTACTCCACTAATATTGCACTTTAGTACTTTTTCTTTGGTAATAGCTTAGGGCTCGTTTGCCAAGTACTTTTAGATGACTGAAAGTGTTTTTTTGTGAAAAATATTTTTTGAACCAATCTTATAGCACTAAAGTGCAATATTAGTGGAGTAAACACTTGGAAACCAAAAATATTTCTCTAAAAGCGTTTTTAGTCATTTAAAAGTATTTCTCAAATTAAGCCTTCTTTTATGCAAGCAATATAATCTAATTCAAGACCTAGCATATTGGGACTAGAATAAATTTTCTTAACCACCTGAAATATAAATTTCATCGATACTAGAATTAACAAGTGTAGTTCTTCCATTGACAGCTTTTCTTTTTAACGACTGTTATAAGCTACTTCTTTAGCTCTTTAACAAGATCCCGCTCAATTGTATATAGTTGGAGTGAGATTCATATCAATAACATATCAACCACAACATTAACAACACATACATATATAGAATTGATACGTTGTTAATAACATTGTCGATATGTTATCAATATGGATCCCATCTAGCTACACTTGTGGGAGAGGCCTGTTTTAGTGGCGTCAAGTGAAAAGAGCCCATTCTTTAACAAGGCCCTTTGGCAAACGCAAACGGTCATTTCACTTTGGTTTTTTCATTGAACAAGCTTGAAGTCGTCATTAATTGAAATGTGAGAACATATTTGATCAACTGAAAACACAAAACCTATAATTTAATTGGTTACATGATCTAGCAAAATTTACTAAATTAACAGAGTAGCTAGGGAAAACAGATGAATGAAATCATGGTCCAGTGGGACTTATGTCTTGTGTGTAGATATAGTCTGTGTGAGCAACCATGGACCTTCTCATCAAACACTCTTCACTGTTTAATCCCTTGCAATCAGCCTCACCATCCAGGCTTCCTTCCTCCTACAAATTAAAACAAAAACATAAATTTTAATTAATTGAAATCAACATGCACCAGGATTAAGATTAACATGAGATAAAAAAAATTAAAGGGTAATTAACGTAGGGAAGTGATTTCTGCTATCTCATTTTCTCCTCTACACTCTTTTCTTTCTTTCTTATCTTTTTTGTTGAATCAAAGGAGAATCGAGAGACGGAAAGAAAGAAAAGAGTGCAGAAGGAGAAAATGAAAATGTGTAAATCACCATCCTTAACTTACAAGTGATGAAGATCTGATGGCCATATAAGAAGGAGAAGCAGCAGCAGAAGATGATAATGATTCATTTGGACCAGATACAGGCAACGTGGAGGCAGCTGGGATCTCTCTGGCTTCCGCTCTTGAAATATACAATAGAGAAAAGGCCAAAAGGAAGAACAAAATCTGGGCATTCGCCATTGTTTTGGTCGCAAAAGCTTCACAATTTCAGCACAGGTTAATGAAAAAGCTTCCTCCTTTATATGTAAATAATTATGGAGAACAACTGAACCCTAGAAATTTAAATTGGGTTTTGACTTTTGAATTTTGAGAGAGTAAATGGGCAATGATGGAGCGATGATTTTGTGAGCTGCTGCCATGAACGAGATATTATTGTGCACTGCTGCCTGCCTGCCTACTGTATCAGAGCGCAGAAAGTCAAGACGTTGGCCTTACCAATTAGTACAGGTCAATGCTGAGCCTCTTTAATTTCTTCTTCCTCCTAGGAAAAATCACCATTTAAAGACATCATTGAAAAGCGTTTCTTCTTTTTTATCTCCATCTGATTTGTTTAGTGTGAGTTTGTTTGGGTGACGGGGAGCTAGCTGTACTGTTTACCATGCAGCTGCAAGTGTACTTGTGTAAGATCAAGTCACATGCCTTGGCATGCATGTGATGGACACCTGTTCATGTTGGGAACATCTTGGTCACCCCTTCAAATAATCATTATACACGACTAGACAGAAAAACTTTGATAAGACTGTCTAACTTGAAAACCATCGAAATTAGTAGCCTGAGATAAAGTCTCATATTTCGTTGAGAGATGTCTTTAGAATGAAGTGATTAAATTTCTGATCAAAATTCATCTTGTAAAAATAAAATATCGTCACATACTATTACTAATTCACATAATATAATAAATATCTAGATTAATAATGAATTTCAAATTAAAATATATTATTAGTAAATATAT